CTGGTACCGTGGTTTGACTTGTGCGCCCTGCCTTGCTTTCTCCATTCGTTCCCTGGTCCTTACCGAACGGGCGTCCCGGTCGGTTAGTCCCAGTCAGCTCTGAATGCGCCAGTTGGAGAAGAGCAGTGAGCAGGGATTTGGTGCATCTCCAGTCAGAGACGCAGGTCGGAGTCGGAAGTAGTGCTTTGGCCAGGCCTTCCGTTCGGAGAGGCCATCCGGAGGCGGGCTGGAGATCGAAGCGAGCGCTCCGGTCGGAGAGGTGGGCCGGGGTCAGAAACGGGCGCCGTTCCTCCTCGGCCAGGCCTTCCAGTCGGTGATTGGATTGTCCCTCTGGCCTGTTGTTTAGGTACTTGGACCGGCCCATGAGTTACGCGTTGTTTGCAACGTTGCCTGCTGGGCTGAGCCTCTGTTGGGAAGTCGATCCGCTAGTTACCCCGGGTTTATGAACCTGATAAAATGACTCAGCATAAAAACTCCAATGCAGCAGCATATATGTACAAACATGTAGCTAGACCCTATAGTTGATTTTAATCTAACAATAGTTATTGTTTTTCTAAGTTTATATGCACACATAAATACATAAATAAATAAAATTATCTTATTTTAAAATGATGTAAATTTTAGGATGTTACAGAGAGTTCTTTTTTTAGCTTTTGGTGTACGGACAAGCTAAAAAATTACTGTAGTACGAAATAGTATTATCAGAATGTAAGTTCTCCTCCGGAATAAACTACGCATTGTTACTGCATTGTTCATTCAAGCTATCCCCGAGTTATTGTCAAAAAATAGAGAGATTATGGAAGTTCACATTTATTGCTACTGCATTGTACATTCTGGTTTCTACTGTCTTTTTACGTATTATTTAATATATATATAAAAACAGTCTACTTTAATAAGTCTGCAAGAGGATGGCCAGCATGCTGATACGTGATTACTAACAATTTTAACTTCATGTTCCTGATTTGTAGAGAACAGTCTAAACTGAGGCAATCTTTGGGGGAAGGGGGTTGTCAATGGAAGCCTAAAGTTTTTCTCGCCGAGCAGCATATGTCCCAAAATCAATTCTAGAAAAATCCTCGAGTAGCGCTAGCCAAGATCACATAGTCACAGCGGTCCTACTAATCTAAAGTTTGATCATCTATGTAGGTAAAAACATATTTTTAGGTATACTATGAAAATATATTTCACGACAAATTTAATAGTACTATTTGACATTGTAAATATTAATATTTTTATAGTTATAGTCAAACTCAATATAAGTTTGATACTATGTTAGAATTGTTTTTTTTTCTTTTCTGAACGGAGGAAGTACCGTCCTCAAGGTGTTTGGGTAAACGCTTTTTTATAGCATGCATGGTTGTTCTGTTTTCTTGGTCTCAATGCAAATAGTGTTTTGGCACAGAGCAGCTCAAGAAACAACAAAGGATGTAGCACCTTCTTTCCTTTGACAAATCACTAAAAACAACCCAGGATGTAGCACGTTCTCCTCCAATACAAGGTGACAACTTTCACCCCGAGGGCTAGATATTTCAGTCTTGAGTTTTGGCTAATTGATATTGTTGTATATCATCTTTAATCAAGAAGCTACTTCATCTTGCTGTTTCTCTTCATGTTGGAAAGTTCTTTTGTTCTGTTCCTTCCATATGTTCCACTAATAATAGACGATGATGTCATCATATTCTTTCCTTTGATATTTACATAAGTTTTTCTTTCAGTTGTCGTTTCTCAATATTAAGGCGAACAATCAGCTCAATAACGACAAAATCAAACTAGTTACAATTTATATGACCTTTTATTGTATTCCATTTTAAATCAAACTGATTTAAATAGTTTGAAAGAGTTCTTTCACACGCTTGCCGTTTCAAAACAGAAATATACAAAGCAGTAGGCAGTAGTTAGGAGCAAAATAGGATTTCCATATTAGGGGGGCCGGGCAAACAATAATAAAATGAGTTATTCAAGGGTCATGCTTTAAATTTCATTGTGTGCAAAAACACACAATGATAATGCGAGCAAAGGTGATATAGAGTGATAGGCCCTGTCTAAATCAGCTATAACTAATAGTTATCTATACCTAAAAATTACTCTAACTAAAACTTAGCCATACATGTTTGGATCCCTGGCTAATGCATTGCTCTTTTTTTATCCCTTTTTCCTCAGTTTAGCTACCGCTGCTCCTCATCTAGCCTTACTCCTCTCTCACGTACCCCCACCTCCCCTTCTCTTTCTATTCTTGATCCCTACCTCCACCATTGCCCAGCACTCTTGCGGACACGCAAGTAACTTGCAGCGACAGGAGGTGCAAGCGGAGTGCGGCTTGCAGTGGCACAAGGCATGGGCAGTGTGCCGCTCGCGACGGCGCTGACCAATCCTAAAACCATGAAGCGCGTGCACTCGGAAACTGTAGTACTCTAGCGGGCTCCTATTCGAATCTATGAGTGTGCCCTCAGGGGAACTTGGAAGGCAGCCAATCGACTAGGACCAAGTACACTCGAGATTCGACAAGGGGTTTATAGCACGCCCCTAGCAGCTGGGACTACAGAGCTGAGTGCTTAACAACAAGTACTCGGGCTTCACTTGTTTGTCTCGATTGTTGCTCGACGAGTATAAATGTCACTGCTCGTGATGCAAAATGTTTATTACTCAAAAGATGTTGCCCATGGAGGCATGCTCGTGAAGCATTCCCCATTGGATGTAGGGCACCCATACCTGAACTAGTATAAATATGTGACTTGTATGCTAGTCTTCTAATTCCTTGTGCACAAAATGTTGATATACTTGTTGAATGGAAAATCCTACAACAAACATGTGGTGCACTGATTAATAGTTTTCATGTAGTGTTTTTCTTTGACTTATATGGCAAATGTTGTATACACATATGAAGTGTGTCTATCATGGATATTATGGGCCCCTCGGCGCCTTCTAGAGTTTGCCTTAGACATCAAATGCAGGTCACTGAGGACACAACATGGTCTTCAAAATGACATTTTTATTTGCAAATTTTATGAAAACCATTTTAAAAAAAAAAAAATCATATATGATGAAGTATTTTTCGTGAAGAAAGTATTAACATGAGCCATATGTTTGAGTCCATTTAGCTTTTCATATACTAATTGTCCAAAGTTAAACAAAGTTTTTACTCTCAAATGTTTGAATTTATGGGCATTTTATTTGTGAATTATTCAAGCTATGGTTTTTTGATTCGCGCATCCTCTAATTGTCTTTCTCAACTCTGGCAAGATTAGAGTTAGTAATTTTGAAAATATGGGGTGTTCAGTTCCCCACGAAACTTTACCACATCTTGAATGCAGCTGCCACAAAAGAGTTGGCTGTTGTTTGGTTTCTACATAAGTTGAGGCAGCCACACAACTTTTTAGTTCATTTTCTATAATAATTTACACCACAAGTGTGGCGGTCTTTTTCCTCTGCCACATACTTCGGCGGCACCACAACCTGACGTGGCTAGCAGCGGGGAACCAAACAGCACCTATATGGTGGGTGGGTGTGAGGGGTTGGGGTTGGTAGTTAAAAGAGAACCCATCAGTAGAGGGTGGTTTAGTGATAGTTATGTCCGCAAGGGTGGTGTGGCGAGATAGGGAAGGAGGAGGCCCACCGTGTGCCTGTCGCAAGTGGCAAAATAATGCTGGTTGGGCAAAGCTAGGGTGATTGTATCAAGCATGTTGTATTTGAAGATTTGGCCTTGACCATTGTGGAGGATCGGACATGGAGAAAGAGGTTGATGATAGGAGTTGAGGTTCACCATTTAGATTTAGTTGCCAAAAAGAATTTTAATCCTCACGAGAGGTGCTAAGGAAAATACTAAATCCTAGAAATTGTAAAAAAAATCATAAACAACTTGCCTTTAATTGGGTAGACTCTAGTCATCATTGCCAATAGGAGCCCTTGATCTATTATAATTCAAAAAATTACCCACCTCTTTAGATAAGTACATTTTGATTGTAACTTATGGGTATGGCAAACCAATAATGGTAGTTTAATATTTCTCTATAAACACTCTTTTATAAATTATAATACTACAAGAAAAATTCAACATTTTAAGTCCCATGCGAGGTAGAGTGACTGGTTATGACAAGTAACTAGACCTACAGTAGAGCCTAGGACCTAGAATCTATTTCAATAAAATATAAAAGGAAAATTTGAATAAAAGTACAATGAACACTAGAGTTTGAACTTAACACACGTGGATAAAAATTAAAACAACTAATAAAAAAGTTGAAATCCAAAAATATAGAGATAGATTAGCATATGAGTATATATGATTGTATATATGCGTGCACTTATGCTTCCAAATGCGCATCTTCTTCTAGGAATCCTGCACCCAAACCGCAGGCACCCGCTAGGGCCACGTCTCCCGCTAACCCGCTAGCCATTGGATCGAGCGTTCATGCGATATTCACCGTCGGGTCTGTCGCCCGAAAAACCCGAACTTTCGCGAATCGTCGCCACCCGCTCGGCTCGCGAATTGTTCTGCCTCGCCCTCGCGGGGCCGGGACCGTGCGAGGCCACCTGGATGTGCGGCGGGCCGGCGGCGCGAGGTCGGCCCCTCCCGCCGTCGCGCTCGGCGCGGCGAGGGCGAGTCGAGCGCCGCGCGGCACGGGCACGGGCCCTGGGCCTAGGCCAGCCGTCCATGACCGCCACCACGGACTGCAAGTGCTGGCGTGGCGCAGCGAGCCGAGCACGCCGCCACACGGATGTAGCTCCCAGCGAACGCCGCCACGAGTGCATGCCACCGGCACAGGCGCAGTCCGCCGGCGAGCCCAGCGCGACGCGGCACGGGTGTGTAGCAACGAGGCGAGCGTGGCCGATGCCTCACTGGACCACTGGCGTTGGCACAGGGCCCACCGGCAACAATACCAGGCGACGCCGCCAGAGACGAGGCGCTATGCGCGTCAGCTTTCTCTAGCCCCATCTCCATTACGGCATTGCCTCCACCTCCCTTCCCTACATGCTCAGTACGCCCGTACAATACATTTGAGAAGATGGCACATCTCGGTGCTTGTGCTGTGGTGGCTGTTGGCTGGGATGAGGAGCAGATTGGCGTCGATCTCCTCCCACTCGAACAGGTGAAGCAATCATCACAGAAAGTGGTTCCATATTGGCTTTTGTTCTCCGGTGCTTGCCCTGATGGCCTCCCTATGAATTTGCATGTCATGTGTTTGACGAAATGGCCATATCATCACCCTGTTATATGAGTATTCATTTTTCTTTTTATTTCATATACAACTTTAGAGTTCCCTCAGCAGATCATCCTATTTCACAATTTTGCTCTGTCCTCGGGATAGGAGGCACAAGCTTTGATAGCCTCTTGCTTAATTTGATCAGCTGCTATGCTATCGGTTCATTCCAACGAGTACACACTTCTGTCTTTTATGCTTTGAGCCAAATCACATTCTTATACATGAATCTGACACTTCTTATTCTCCTTGGTTATTACCTGAATATATTATCATAATCAACTCCCTTAATTCTTAGTACTAATTAAGCTGCAAAACCTGACATATTTAGATATGGTGTCATTTATTCACTAGAGCTGAGAAGAAATTGCTTATATGCAAAGGTATCCTTTATTGCAATCTGAATTAGATCAACTTATAACTTTCCCTTGTATTGTCATTGTAAAATAAGCAACAATGCTATATTATTTTTAGAGCCCTAAATTTACGTAGGTGTTGTGAATATTATGTGTACAAGACGCACCATATCTTCACTTTAGATGAAGGCTAAGTGACAGGTTTCGGATAATTAAAGAAAAGACACAATAACATCAACTACCCTAACTTGAAATGAATATGATTTTGTATCATATCTTGTTGGTCCTCTTCTACCATTGTTTAATCCATTTCTTCCAAGTTATGAACAAAAGTGTTTGATGGATATTTCTTCCAGGTTATAAGCGTGTCGTGGCGTGGTTGAGCCACCTCTGCTCTCCCCATAGAAAAATATAAGAGTATCTGACGGTTCTCACTGGGTACTAATGAGAAATTTAGAGAGTGTACGAAAATCAATATTGACTGAAACTCCCTTATACTTCTGGCCTCCTCTGACTTTAAAATCACTCAAGTTACATACTTTGATACTTATTATTTTCTACAAATGCTTCACTTCCCATTACTTAATTGCATTATTTTGCTACGAACAATTAATTTGCTATGGGGTCTAGAAAAGTTTCGGCCGCTCCATACCTATTACTACACCAACCAACCATAAGTTGGTCTGACCTATCAGTAAGATCGTACAGTCCACATGATAAACTCCATTTATATCTCTACTTCCTTCGCTCATAATTTTAGTTGATAGGATATATTTTTATGTGTTTGTAGCATTACTTCTACATATTTGGGTTTAGTTCGATGGGTTGAGCGCATCCCCCGTGGGCAGCTTGATGTTGATGGCTACCACATGAGGGAAACAAGGCTCTCAAATCATTATGAGCCGCACTGTTACTGTTTCTACCACCACCATTTGATAGTAATTGAAACTCTACATTCTCTCCGACAAAGACAACATTTCTCCTTACTAAAGTTTTCATGTTAAAATAAATTCATACGCTCTGAAAACCCTGCTTAGTTTTACATCACTTCTAATGTACGGAAATCACTCATGTGACAAACAAATACTATACAAACACAAGAAACTTACCTAAACACCACAGATCTTAACATGGCCTAAAGCCCTAAACTATCACCAGGTGTTATAAGATGAGACGTTCATTGCCCATATTTAACAATGTATGATATCCTGTCTAGTCACATCAAGGGTGGTAAAAAGGGGGCCTATGTTTTTGGCTTCTCAATGCCTGCAAGCTATACATACATACATTGCTACAATGCGATCCTGATAGCGATCACGTGAGCTACCTCAATCTACAAGCGCTACAAAACAAGAGAATCATCTGCCGCCGCACCTGGAGTCTTCGTGTATACATGTGATGCTCTAGCTGGTAGTACACATCAGCTGGATCACTGCTCGTCCTGTAATGCCTGTTAGTATCTTTCTCTTCGACGATCTGCTCCTGTTTCCAACTATATCAGAGAGAAAATAAAACAGTTTATAGTTCTGCTTTGGAAAGTGGGTGTTTTCTCTCTCTTTTTTTCTATAGGAATGTTATGTGAATTGGATTGATTCGTAACTAAGAAAAAAAACATGTCTTTAAAGCCTCACAGCACTTTGATTTGTTTTTAATCTATTAGTTGTGAAATTGCAAAATTGCGAAACGTAACAATTGGAATCTCAAATATCTATTTTTCTCTTTATATCCAAGAAAGAGAAAATTGGGATGACCTTGAACACATGCATGATCCATTGATCCCTGTGGATTTCGACATTTGAGTACGATGGATGTTATGATGACGTGGTGCACGCGTGCAGGCACACCCACGCGCGACCAAGGAGGAGCGGCGGTCGCTGTGCCGGCTGATCGACGCGCGCAAGCTGTCGGCGGAGGCGGCCGCGCACGCCGTGCAGAACGACCGCCTGCCGGTGCGCTGCGTGGTCCAGGTGCTCTTCCTGTCGTCGGAGCACGGCGGAGGCGGCGGCAAGCTCATCGCCGGCCGCCACCGCCTCGCCGAGTGGAGCGGCGAGGGCGGCGGCTCCTTCCGCGACCCGCAACAGATCATCAGGAGCCCCGCCGCCGCCGCTTCCCTCGACCTCCCCTACTACGGCGCTGCCGTCGCCGCGGGCGGCAGCGCGCGGTGCCCGTCCAAGCGCGAGGTCGCCGTCGCGGCGCAGCACCACGAGCTGCGGCGCCGCCGCGAGGACGTTGCGCGCCTCCAGGTAGCGTAGCACTTGTACTTCTGTGCGTGCATGCAAGTCATGATGAGCCAAAGCCACATGTACGTACGTACGGTGGCTGGCAGTGTCAGTGAGTGGGCGCGTGGACTGACGTGCGTCGACGATGCCTCCAACGCATGCAGGTGCAGTGCCACGCGCTGCAGGCGCAGGTGGACCGGCTGGGCTCGGAGGGCGGCCGGCGGCGGCGGGGGCTGTTCAGGTGGGGCGCCGCGTTCCTGTTCGGCGGCGGCGGCCCGGGCGCCAGCGCGACGTCGAGGGTGGACGACTCCGACAGCGGCGTGGACAGGACGCCGCTCAGCGCGGGGAAGCAGGGGCGGGGCACGCCGACCGTGTCAAGGTGGCGCAGGTCTCACTCCTGAAGCCAGCCAACACCGTCGACGTACCCATCTTTTTTTAAGCAAGTGAAAGTGTGCTGTTGGTTTGCTCATGTGTTCCTTCAAATCGTCCACGATCCACGACCACGACACGAGCTGACGAGCCTGTGCCCTTTGCCCTGTGCATGGTGACTGCCCTGCATATCTAGTACACTGTTTGTGATTGGTTAACTATTACTGCTTGTTTCTTTGTGTTTGAGGTAAAGCGTCTTTGTCTGGATTGCCGGCATATAATCTCACTGCTCTGTTCTCTTGTCTTTTCCCTTTTTAACGGTAATCTGATTATTGGTGAATTACAAAATGTAAGGCGAGATCGTACGTCCACCTCTAAGGTTATCTTTTCTTTGTTGGGTTTTCAGTGGTTGGAAAAGGAGGCTTTTACTGTGTATATTCTACTACTTCTTGATAGGATGATTGAGAGTGTAAATAAATCAGATCCAGACATTAATCTTTAGGGGCATTAACAAATTTATCTAGAAATAAACACAGTTTATCACCAAAACCACGACCAATATTGTTAATATTAAGGGAGTGTTTGTGACTGTTTCGCTCCATATTTTTCGGCTTCACTCCACTTTTTTTTATCGTGCAACTCCACAAACTCTTCCGGAAAAAATGTAGAGTTAAGAGAGCACCTAAATCGGTGCTTCAGAAACTCCAGATTTTGTGGAGCTCCTCTACAATGAAGTTTGTGGAGCAGAGTTGGTGGAGCAATCCCAAGCAAGACGTAAATTGCGTGCACCTACTAGTCTCCACCCCGTCTAACCACCTTACCTGATTTCACATAACATCTAGTAAAATCTCACATCGGTCTTTAAAAAACCACAATGTCCCCAAAATGCAGTTTTGTTCCATCGCCACCGACAATTCCTACCCAATGTACCCACAACCGGCCTAGGACCACACAAGTAACGGGGAAATGATTCATTTTAAGCTGGTTTCATTTTATTTTCGTGCATCTTGCTAAACATAGTTACAATGACCCCCCAAATTCAAGCATTTTTTAGTTATAGATGGTCCGTTGTAGTTTGATACTCCCTCTGTCTTGTAATATAAGATATCAAGCATTCAAATTTGTCCCAAATTATAAAAAAATATTGATGTACAAACCTCCAAAAGGCAATATTCACATGCATACCTACCATTAATATCTATCACCAATCAAAATATGATAATTAAAGGGGGTTGCATGCGTCATTTGTTTCACTACATAATATGCTGTAAAATTGCTTGATACCTAATATATTTGAGGAGGAAGGAGTACCAAAAGATTATGCTTTGTGTTATTTTTTATTCATTAAATGATGACCTTTTGTTGTAATTCCTCATTTAAAATGCATGATTTGGTATGTGCTGCTATTGTTCCTGACTCAAGGAGTGCTAGTTCGATTCCAGATGAGTGTTCTTTTTGTTTTCATTTTTTCCTATCTCTTACCCAATATAAGACGTGTGCTTTATCAAGAGGTCTTGTTCTTAACCCAATAAGATGTGTGCTTCGTTACGAGGTGGATGCGAGTTCGATTCTTTGACGAGTACTAGTTGTGTTGTAATTTGTGCAAGTTTGGGCTTAATTGTTAAATTTAAGACTTATTTTTGTTATTGACTAGGAATGATACACTAAACTATAATACAAATTTTATGATTATTTATCGAATTGCTATATGAATTTATCAAAATATATGTGAAATTTTGGTTCCGTATATCCTTTAAGAAAATTCTAGTACAACCAACCATGCTGACAGAACGAATGTACCTTGAGCGTGTGTTCATCTCTCCTCGGTCTATCTCAGCTCGCCCTTTCCATATTTGACTATACCATATCCGTCACTATTAACGAATGAAATAAGTTGCTCGTGTGTTCATATGTGAAACAGGCCGCCCGGCCAATCGGTGGTCAAGAAGACCGAGCAGCACACAAACCGGCCGGTTGGTGCTCCAAAAGTTGTCGTTGTGCCATGTCTTGGTACTTTCCCTCAAGTAGCAAGTAGCAACAACCGCAATAATAATAAGCTTATATCGATCATTATATGTAGACTCTCTAGTAGTTAGCATAAAATATATATTGTTCTGGCTCCATCGACCCCGCGCTGGTTCTGAAGAACTTTCGTCGGACCATGACTGCTGTGAGCACACACGGGTGGTTTCTGACGAATGAAAAACCGCTATTGTATCTCTTGCGCCGTTAATTACCACCATCACAGTAGTATGTCTCAAGTTTATTGTATCGTCACTGTCATGGCAGCAGCTGCAGCTAGCTGCTATATATATGTGTGTGTTTTTTAAAACGAAATGACAAGAGCTCTGCCATCCAATCAATTAAGAAGAGAGGTTTATGAAACAAGTAGCTGAGCCTGCATCTTAGGAAGATTACACAGGTAGTAAAGGATAGCTCATCACAATGACGAATATTGCTTCTTCAGTGACAGGAAGCTGTTCGTCATACACCCTACTAGTGCAAGATACAAACACAATTTAACCGAGACTGAATTTACCTCCTAAGGAAAAACCTAGCTTCTATGTCGCTCGATGTCGTCTTTGGTGCGAGCGGTCACATGTAGGGATATCAAACTCTCATTTGGAACTCAACTTTCTTGGCAATTACTCCCTCAATTCTAAATTGTAAGTCGTTTTGACTTTTATCTAGAAAAGCCAGGACGACTTATAATTTAGAATGGAGAGAGTACTAGCTAATAGCTAGGCTGGCTGCTTACCTTTCATTCAAGAAACAATGCAATGACCTTTTTATTTAACAAGACTTGCATATGACTCCCTCGTGTAGATGATTAGCTGTGAACAAAGAGAGCATGGAATTATGAGAATATTTCTGCTGGTTTGTGGTATGGAATATAGAGGAGTGGATGGATAACTAGAGACTCTGTCAGCAGCTCCAGTTTGATTGAAGCTTGTTTCACATCACAAAGAATCAATTGGCCAAATTGCCACCTAATCTACAAATTTCAACAATGACCTGTCTCGGTAGCTTTAGAAGTCAGACGATGAGCACATTGTATATTAACATCTTCCTTAGCTTGTATAATTAGTCCTAAACTTTTGTTGTGGCCAGGAACACATCAAAGGCTATGAAACGTGTTAATTAATCTTTTATAATTAAAGAAGAGACATCAGCATGACTAAGCTCAAGGGGACAATAAGGAATTAAGGAGACACAAATCAGTCTGAAAGAGTAGTAAGAGAAGTGGAATTTCATTGGATAAGAACGATCCAATTAGTCCGCAACGTGTGTGGCCACCCAAAAGATTCTGCAGATCTCTCTGCATAGTCCATAGGAGTATGCTGCTTCCATGTTCTTTCGTTTCAGGGTCAAGCTGCAGGTAGCACGCACTCTGCTTTTTTTTTTGTTTTTTTTAGGGAAAAAAATCCATCACACATTTATCAACTGTGCGTGAACATTCGTTGTCAGAGGCCCTCTTCTTTTGGCTACCTCCAACAAATTTCTAGAGTAGCTGTATATTCTAGGGGCGTTTAGTTTCCACCAAAATCCAAACTTTGGCACTATGCAAAAAGAAGATTTCTCGTCACATCAAATTTATGGTACATGTATGGAGTACTAAATATTGACAAAATTAAAAACTAATTGCACAGTTTAGTCGTACTTTGCGAGATGAACGTTTTGAGCTTAATTAGTCAACGATTGAACAATAATTCATAAATACAAACGAAACGCTACACTACGCTACAGTGCTGGCACAGTGATTTTGGTTGTCCAAAATGGGACAACTAAACAAGGGCCTAATAATAAACATTATTTCGTTGTTGTCAAACAACCCTAACAACATACCAGTAAGTAATCTGAACGCGTGCTTACGCTTCTGAAGTCTCTAAGGGGCATATGCAACAATATGCCATGTGCGTATAGCTAGATCGCCGATCGGAGATCCACAGAGCCAATTCTTGGAGCCGATCGACTGGGACAAGTAGCCAGCAAGAGGCGGAATCACCTATGCATGGATGCTTTATTTCCATTTTTGGGTTCAAGTGAACCGCATCCCCTATGCAATACAGTACATCGATCACAGCAACTCAGCAAGCAACAGGTCTGTTCGGCTAGTATTAAAGCCAGCTAAAGTTGTTTTATTGTGAGAGAAAATACTGTAGATTCTAACTGATAAGCCGGATGATAAGTTCAAGCAAACATGTGTACGTACTGTATTAAGCAAGATACATGCATGCACCGTACTGCATACATCTGCACCATCAGCTAAACTTTCTAAAACGATCCCGATTTTTTCGAAGGGGAATCCACAAATTCGAAGTATAACGTGATAGTCTTAGATGATTATCCCATCAAATTATCAAATAACAGTTGATATCACAGTCATACATCGAATACATGTCTTAAAGAGAGTACAAATAGCAAGATTTACTCATTATTACATCGCCACTTGGCGAAATCACTCAAAGCATACATCATCCAAAACAATTTCAAGTAGAAAGGCAGCGGGCGTCGACTCCATCTTCTCAACCAAACTTAAGCGCAGGAACAAGACATCTAATCCTCCCAACCGTCTCCCTGGTAGTCGTACTTAGGCTTGGAACCTATCAAACAATTATCAGTACGATTTGTAGTGGCCACTGACTCCCACCCTATGTTTTGCGTTTGCTTTGTGGTAGTGGAATGCAAGGGTAGAGCAAAATACCTATTTGTGGCTGTAGTTTTCCTACGCGAGTATGTCAAGTTTTAATAATAATTCATCAAGTTTCAACCCGTCTCGTCCACATGTTCTCCCATCCCATGTAACACCCCTGGTGTTACGAGCTTGTTTAGCACCGTGATTTAGGCCTAAGTAAAATTTTTGAAGCGAGTTTCTCTGATTTTTTATTTAAAACGTACTCCTATGTATAACAGTGGTGCTTAGTGCAGTGATAACCTGTCTCTGTCTGTCGTCTCTGTTGTACAAGTTGACCGACTGCTCATCTCTTGCTTGCGAAGCTGGTGATCTGGTCCGAATTTTTATTTGGAGCAC